GCACATTAAAATGATAGTTGATTTTTAACAAAGGTTTTATAACTCAATTTATTCATCACTATCATTGTTTTGAAAAACTTAGAAATTATAGGCCATAAAAAGAAGATAAAATATGCCCTTACTGTCTGTCACAGATAACCAGTAATAAAATTTTTTTAGGTTCTATCTTTTTAAAATAGAAATATTAATATGTCTTATGAAATATTTTTGTTGAATCATGGTATCTCATTGCATAAGTTGAAATGCACGTAAACTACCCCACATTATTATATATTGCTGATTACTTTTTCTCCATTGCCAATAATATTATGGTGTATATTTTACGCATAAATTTTCATGCTTATCAATAATTGATAAGTATTTCCTTAGGATATGTTTCTTGAAGTAGAATTACTGCATTAATGAGTGTAGACATTTTTAAGACTTTTGAGACAAACTGTCAATTTGCCCTCCAGACTCTATACTGATATATAACAATATTAGGGTGCATTTTTCTAAAGTTGAGGAGAAGATTAAATTCTGCTGCAAGTTATTCTTCTTATAAATACACATTAGGGTTCAATCAACATTATATACACCCAGTTCTACCGACTATAAGGATGGCATTATTTTTCAGTAGCTTCCACTGGATATTGTTCTCAGTACACATTAAATTTTTAGATGAAGAAGTAATTTTGGAAAAGCTAATGGCCCATGGGTCTTTTATACTGTATTTCAGAGTAATGATGGTTCTTTTTAAGAAATACTATGACATTATTTCAAATACATTGTGTTTTTTTCTTTCCAGAATTTTGCGTCAGGGCATTATGAGAAAGCTCTGCTTGCGATCTGTGCTGGCGATGCTGACAATTACTAAGTCAAGGGAAGATTCGGAGGACTGTGTATTCTTCTTTATAGATACATCAAAATATAGATTTTGTAATGAATTTGCAGTTAGTAGCACTATAGCAAAACTCTGGAATCATATTTTCTCTCCTATCTTAAAATTATTCTAACCAAAGAAAAATCTATTGATAAAAGTATGTGAGACTGGATTTGCACTAATTATCTAAATCAGCAGTTCATTAAATTGTGTATCATGGAATAAATATATTATTGCATTGAAATAGATTTTATTTAAATGTGAACTACCGATTCCCTACAAAAAAAGTGAAAGGATGGAAAACACATTCCATGCAAAGAATAAATAAAGGGGAGCCAGGATAGCTTTCCTAAATTTGGACAAATACACTTTAAATCAAAATCTGTTTTAAGAAATTATATATTGATTAAAGTGTTATTTCATCTAGAATATATAACAATTAAAAACAAATTGACTTCAAACCACAGAACCCTCCCCAAATGAGGCAAACACTGACAGACTAGAAGGGAGAAACTGACATTTCTGAAATAATAGTTAAGACTTTGATACTCCACTTTCAACAATGGATGGAACACATAGACAAAGGATCAGTAAGGAAATAAGTGCCTTCAACCACAAGCCCTAACAGACATATTTGGGAGACTACACCTAACAGCAGAATATACATTTTTCCCATGTGAATTTCAAACATTCTCTAGAAAAGAACATATATTAGGCTATAAAACAGGTTTCAATATATTCAAAAATACATGTCACACAAAGTATCTTCTCAGACCATAATGATGTAACACTAGAAATCATTAACAGAAGGAAAATTGGATAATGGAGAAATATGTGTAAATTAAACAGCACACAAACAATGGGTCAAGAACAGAATCACAGAAACACTTAGAAACAAATGCCAGTAAAAGCACAACATACCAAAACTTATGAGATATAGAAAAAGAAGTGCTCAGAAGGAAATTTATACCCGTTAATGCCTACACTGAAAAAAGATGAAAGATTGAAAATCCACAGCCTAATTTTACACTTTAAGGAACTAGATAAAGAAGAGTAATCTAAAACCTAAGTGATCTGAAGGAAATAAAAAAGATTAGTGTGGTGATAAATGAAATACAGAATAGAAAAACAACAGAGAAGTCCAATGATCAAAAGTTCAACAAAACTGATAAACATTTAGCTAGTCTGACAAAGACAAAAAGGGAGAAGATGATGGAAAAACAAAATCAGAAATGAACATGAAAATATTTCTACTGATGCAATAGAGATAAAAAGTATTATGCAAGAGTACTGTGAATAGCAACTCTATACACACACAAAAAATAGAAAACCTAGGTTAAATGGAAAAATTCCTAGAAATAACAAATTATCAAAACTGACTCAAAAGAAATAGAAAATATAAGAAAACCTGTAATGAGTAAAGAAATTGAATCAGTTACAAAAAAAAAAAACCCCAACAAAGAAAAGTCCAGACCAGCTGACTTCACTGGTAAATTCTAACAAATATTTAAAGAAGAACTAACACCAATCTTTTCAAACTCTTCCATGAAATAGAAGAAATAGAGATACTTCCTAACTCATTCTCTGTGGCTGGAATATGTCCTGGTACCAAAGCCAAACTAAAGATAACATGAGAAAAGAAAATACAGACCAATATTCTTTATGAATATAGATGCAAAAATCCTCAATAAAATACCAGCAAACAGAGTCCAAAACCATACTGAAAAGATCATATGCTGTGACTTAATGGGATTTACCCCAGGGATGCATGAATGATTTAAGCAAATCAATCAGTGTAATGCACAACTTCAACAGAGTGAAGGAAAAAAAGACAAATCATCACCTCAGTTCATGTAGAATAAGCATTTGAAAAAAGTCTTTTCATCACAAAAATACTCAGAAAACTAGGAATACAAGAGAACTTCCTCACATTATAAAGCACATTTAATAAAACTCAGGCTAACATAATAATGATAAAAGCCTGAAAGCTTCTTCCTAATATCAGAAACAAAACAAGGATATCTGCTTTTCATCTCATAGAAGTGACAGCACTGAAAGGAAATGGCACAATCTTGAGAGGACTGTTATGTCAAAGATCCTGATAGGAAAAGCCCTGGTATGGATACTTAGATAGGCAAGCTTAAGAATCTAAAATCCCCAAATCCTGTAGGCTGACAAAGCAGTGCCCTCCCCTTGAGACTTCACCTGAAGTAGATATGTGACAAAATTATGATTTTCCTCAAGATCTGTGTCTTCCCCTTCATTGACTCCACGAAGTTTACCAGGGTCAATATTTAATAGATGGTAGACAAGTCTGGTCTTTGCACACTGGTCAACATGACATTCCAGAGATTGTAGTGGTGGTTTCCTGCATTGATGGTATCATGCACTGAAAGAGGCATGGCTTAGAATTCAATTTCCTGCCACCAGCCTCATATACAACTACTTGTGCTCCAGCCACCTCTTCCTCCCTTTATTGTCTTGTGTTTTACATAATTGATTTCATCTGTGCTCTAGGTGTATTCCACTCCTACTCTCTCCTGGACATTTTCCAGAAGTGTTGGCCATACCACTCTGTCACAAATCCTTACCTTTGCAGCAATTCCTGTTTCTAGCTTTTATTAGCCAATACAATTCCTCATAAACTTAATTTTGATGACTATTTCTTTAATTAATCCACTCAATCAACTTTTATTAGGCATTTAGTATAATATCAGACATTCTTCCAGGCAATATCCTAAAGGCCACTGGTCTCAAGAAGCACATGGTGTAGAGAAATAAAAAGACAAGTTGGAAGATCACTAAGAGGTGATGATATGCTGAGGGTATATTTTGGCTGGTGAATGAACTAGACAGGATGGGGGGCCAAAGCAGGGAGTGCCAGAAAAAGCTGAAGCCTTCTCCAGGAGGTGATGACTTGAAACTGATTTTGAAGAAGAATTATCTGGAGTTTTCAGATAAATATAGGGTAAGAGCATTCTAGAAAAACAGAACAGGGTGTTCAAAGGCCAACAGCAGCCCGGAGAAGGCAGACTTCCCCTGGAGTTCCTCACTTGGCGTGCTCAGGGTGTGCCCTTGAAGAGGATCAGTACCTTCCCCGGTCTGCAGATAGATCGTGTGTAAACCTTATTTGATTAAGCCCACCGGTCGGTTGTATTGAGAAATAATGGGAAGCACAGCCTGGACAATCATGTTTGTTTCAATGATTAGCGCAAAAGCTGTTTCCTCCTCAAGTGTTTCCCCTGAAATACCTCAAAGCAGAGAATTTAGGGCAAGATCAAACAACTGCTCTGGAAGCATACAATCTCATGGATGTCCATTCTTTACTTTTTTTTTTTAGTAAAAATGTATATACATTTCATATCTTACCACAAATTATATAAGCATTTTTAATATAAATGTGGCTTTTGAAAAAAAATTTCTATGCTTTCTCCTATAACCCTCTGAATAATTCCATATTGTTGGAATTATTACCTCTAGTTCTACAGATGTGTAATCAGAGGATAAGAAAGGTTTTATAGCTTACAGAGGACCAGGCAGTTAATAAACTGAAGAACTGAGTGCATTCATAAATTGAAGAACTGAGTGCATCTTATTCAAGGCCCTAATCTTTCCTAATAGACCAGCAATACTACTGTGGTTACTAACAGGTAAGTGACTACTTCAGTGAGCCTCACAATTAGAGTTTTGAGATACAGCTACAGAGACAAGAACTGACTTTCCCTTTGATTTCTAGTTCTATTGAAATATTTCAGAATCATTGCAGAAATATTGCAGAACACAGAACCCCAAAGAACATAGAAATATGGCAAAAACATAAACCCAAAATTGTGTATCACATATTTTTTTTAAAAATCAACCTGTTAACCAGGAAGCCTTAGCATGTTTTAAAAAATGTGAATTCAATCTAAAGGGGCCATTTTAACACCAATCTCAAAGGGGCCTTGGAATTAATTTATTTGCAAATAAAGTATTTTGTCTTGGGACTGAAACTATCACCACTGGTTCTCCCCAAGTCTAACCCTTGAGTTTGACTTGGTCCTTAGGAGCCAGTTCTTCTTTCTTAAATGACCCCTAAACAAACACACTCATTTTTCTCCTTGCCACTTCTTCCCCACATAGGCACTGAACCCCTTACCTATGGTCTGTGGTTTCCCTTTCAGAGTCCAACAGCCTGCTTAGCCCAAGGTGGGTGGATGAGTCCTTGGAGGGGTTGTGAGATCATGGAGGCAGACAGAACGAGCTCTTCTTCTAACCAGATCCCTCGCAGCTCCTCTCTGTCCCAGCTAGGTCACCCGCTTTTCAGTTACAATTTTCTTAGTTTCTTTTCCCAGAAAGGCAAAAAAAGAGAGGAAGTGTAAATAGTTCACTACTTACAGAGTCTCAATATTGCCTTACCACTTCAGGCCACATCCCCTAGTATATTGGACACAAAGGATGGATCAAAAGTACACACACAACACACTAAGAAAAATATAAAAATTTTGTAGAAAATCTCATGCTTTCATTTCCTTCCATTGTTATATCACACATGAATTATCTTAACAACACGGAACAGCCCAGGCTTTCAGCACTATTCTTGGAAGCACTAGTGGCGATTTACCTATCCAACTAATATTTTCTAGAGAAGAAAGAATTGTTTCATGGTACACAGTCAAGAACTCACCACATGCACAGACACACACACACCAAGAATCCACCATGTGCGCACGCACACGCACACCAAGAATCCATCACACACACACTCTCTTTGCAATGTACCAAGGAAATACTCCCATGTGTCTTCTTTTCTCCTTAGGCTTTGTAGCTTTCATTTCACTCCATAAAAAATCCTGAAAGTGCCATAATGAAAAAATATTGGAAGCTATGGAGGAGAAAAGAAGCCACAGTTGATGACTGTAACAACTTGTGGCTCAAAGATTGTGAGAAAAAAATAGGAACTTTGAAATGCTTATTACAGCAATCTAGCAATAAACAGTGCTAGCTAAATATGCCATTTGTTAAACCAAATTTTATTTTAGCCCCAATGTTAACTTCCTGCGCACCCAACCTGCATAAAACCAGCCAGGATCCCAGAATGAGAATATATTCCTCCTTAGGAGACTAAAATCCATGCAGAGCTGCTTCAGGAGAGTAAGTCACCACAGCGAAAGAGTGCATTCTTTTTTCTTTGGCTTCTAGGACGATGGTCAGCTGCAGCAGCAACAATAAAGGTTTTTTATCAGCTCTAGCTTGACGTAGATGTTTGGCGCAAGCATTATTGATCTATTTATTAAGTAGGAAGTTAGATTTTTGGTTTCACATTGGCACACGCACATAGGTCATAAGAACTAAATTGATTTTTACATCAAATACATTGATAAGACATCACTTCTCGTAAGTGTTGAATCAGGTAGGGATTTCATTTCCTTCTGATATCCTAAAGGTGATAGAGCAGGCCTTCATTCAACAGGAAGATATTAAACAGGATCTAGAAGGGATATTGAGTGGAGAAAAAGTTGGCTTTCAGAATATTCTCAAGCTGTGGATGTCTTGCCCACTGGCCATGAGGCTGCCTGAACTGGGCACAAGTCACTGCTAAAGTCATGGCATCAGGTTGAAGAGGCGGAGCCTTCCCTTGACCCAGTTACTGATGCAAGTAAAAGACATAGAGTCAAACTTTCCCCAACATGTTTGAATCTTCCGTTCTTTTAGTAAAAATCTCAGACAGAGCAGCCCCATTTCTCTTAGGTCTGCCTCTTGCAGCAGAAATCCCTGGACATAACACAGGAATGGCTACCTTGAAACTTGAGGAATGACATGGCAATGAGTTCTCTAGGTGTCCGTATGCCTCCCTATCCCCAGAGCATTGTGAAGAGGGGCTAGTTACCGCATGCCCCACCTGTCCAGGTCTCACCGGGCCGTCTAGCCTCTCTCCCTGACCTGGAGACGAAGAGAATGAACAAGGCAGTGGGACGTGATGCTGATCAGAATTCTGCTCTCACCCTCTTGCCTTGTAGATGGGTGTTGGGAGGCTGAACCTTTGACCACATCCAGTATCGGTGCAGAAGAATGAGCAGGTGCAAGGAACTCGGTGCCACACATGTCCTGTGACAGCTGAGCTTCCATCGCTTTCTGAAACAACAGGGCGGTATAAATCAGCCTTGCTGCCCCCTCCTTGGTGTCTGCAAGAACCAAAAGGGAGTTTGTTATGTATCCCCACCCAGAGATGCGTAAGGAGACAATGAAGGCACTGCCCCCACTAGGAAGGTGTCAAAGGGACAGCCAGGGAAGCTGGGCTCCAACCTTGCCACATTGTGCACGGACGCAGTGTAGGCCAGTGCCCTTTATCTAAGCCTGGAGTAGTTAAAGCACAGTCTCTGGACGGAAAGGGCAACACTATCTGTTTTGTTCCTGGAGTTCAGAGATAGAAATAGTCCAAGGACAAACCAAGGAGAGGAACTGAAATTTTCCATAAGACCCTTAAAACACTCCCTTTTAAATTTACCGAAACAGCTGCAGCTCTGCACATAGACTGGTTCATAATTTTCCTTCCAGCTTGAGATACAAGACAATTTTTGTCCTATCAAGAGTTTGCAGCAGCAGTGACTGGATCTGTGTTGAGAGGAGTCAGCCCACCAAGGACAGGGAGTCTCACTAAAGTGTCAGACCCTTGGTGTCTGGTGTCTGCAGTTATCTGTCACTTCCTGCTTTCCCAATCTTCCCTTTTCTTCAGCATAAAAGGAGCATGAAATCAACTCTGAGCTAAGATGGGTCTTCAAAAAATAGTCCTCCTATCTGCCACGCCACTGGCTTGTTGACTAAAGCTCTCTCTCTGCTCACCTCTGTCTCTCAGCATATTGGTTGAATTAGGTGGCAGTGGAACCCAATATTCACAGTCATACTCTCTTTGCCACAATGCTGTCAGCAGGCCCAGAAGGAAGCTGAGCCCCGCCCCTCCTCATGCTACACCTCACCCACCCCACCTGCTAAGAAAGCATATTAAATAGGATCTGGAGTCTCATAATACCCAGAATGTCCAAATATATCCAGATACAACAAAAAAAATCATCATTACCACTAAGCAGGGAAACCAAAATTTGAATGAGAAGATGACACGGATGTCCATGTCACAACAAAGCTGATGATGGAATTATCTGACAAGTGTTTGAAAGTTTCTATTGTTAAAATGTTTCAACAAGTACTACACATTGTCTTGAAACAGATAAAACACAGAAAATCTCAAGAAAGACAAGTTATGAAAAAAAATTAACTGGTAACTATAGAGTAGAAAAACTTGCTTAAATTTCTGGGTGAGGTCAGTGGTAGAGCGGAGATGACGTAGAATGGAATTAGTGAACTTCAGGACAGATCAGTAGACTTGATCAGTCATAATAACAAGCAGAAAGTAGATTGAAAATGAAATGAACAGAGTTTTAGGGACTTGTGAGACAGTACAAAAAAAACCTAACATTCATATCACTGGAGTCACCAAAAGAGGAAAAAAGGATGAGACTGAAAAGATAGTAAAAGAAGTAATGGCTGAAAACTCCCCAAATTTAACAATACAGCTATAGAGTGAAAAAGTGAAGTGAACTCCAAATAAGAAAAAAAAAAAGACAAAAACATGCAAAGGAAGCATTACAGCTGAACTTCTGAAAACTAAAGGCAAAGAAGATATCTTTGGAGTACACAGAGAAAAACAGCACATAACCAATAGCAGAACATCGATAGATTCAAACAATGGTGAGTTTCTCATCCAAAACCAGAGGCCAGAGGAAGTGGTACAATATCCAGTGAAAATATTCTTTAGGGATTAATAGGAAATAAAAACTGTCCACTGAAGGAAAGTAAAGAGAATTTCTGTCCATTGTAGCAAAATAATCCTTCAAAATTGGGTCAAATTCTCTAAACCAAAAAGAAAGCTTAGATCTTCAGAAAGGAAAGAAGAAAATCAGAAGAGGTAAAAACAGGATGAAGTATAATAGAATAATCTTCTCACGAGCTTCTTAAGTAATATTTAATGGTTGAATTAAAAAATTTAAGCATCACATTTATGTGTTGCTCAATGTCTATAGAGAAAATACTTAAAATAATTTCATTTCAAAAAAGGGGAGGCTAAAGGGACCTAAGTTAGAGTAAAGTCGTAAAACCTTGATACCAATAGACTGTGATAAAGTATATATGTATATTGCAACCACTGATTAAGCTATGCAAATTAATATACTGAGAAAAGTGTAAATAAATGAAGATGGAGTAAAAAACTTTTCAGACAATTCACAGAAAGGCAAGAAAAGACAGGCGAACAAGAAACAGAGGAAGCATGAATATTAATAGCAGCTTTATTTCTAATAACCAAACACTAGAAACAACCCAAATGCTATTCAAAGGGTGGTCAAATGATTAAACAAACTGTGGTGCATCATTATTGTGGAATACTACTCAGCAATGTAAAGGAATGCACTATTGTTACATGCAACAGTTGGACTCAGGGAATTACGCTGAGTGAAAAAAGCCAATCTCAAAAGGTTACCTATTGCATGATTCCATTTATATAGGTCTTGAAATGACAACATTATAGAAATACAGAACAGCTAGCACCAGATGTTAGGGTTTGGGGCTGGAGGGCAGGGGTAGAATCAGATGCAAAGGGTAAGGGGGGAAGTGGGAGGAAGTGAGAGGGAGGTGGTTGTGGTTACACAGGACAAGAAGAGGATACTTTGTGGTTCTGAAACTGTTCTGTATCTTGACTGTGATGGTGGATAAATAAACCTACACATGCAATAATAATGCCTAGTACTAAATACACACAAGTGAGTGTAGACAAAATTGATGAAATCTTAATAATGGATTAAATTTACATCAATAATGTGGTTTGGGTATTGTACTATATTATAATATTGCAAGATGTTACCATTTGGGAAATTGGATAAAGGCTATATGGGATCTCTGTAATCTTTTTTTTTATCTTTTCTTATTGAGAATAATTGACATATACTAGTTTCAATGTACAGAATAATGCTTTGATATTTGTATATGTTGTGCAATAATCAGTGTCTAGTTAACATCTATCACCATAGGTATCATTTTTTTCTTGTGATGAAAACATTCAAGACTTATTCTCTTAGCAACTTTCAAATATACAAAACAGTATTATTACCCATAATCACCATGCTGTCCTTTAGATCTTATGACTTAATTATTTTATAACTGAAATTTTGTAACTTTTGACCCCCTTCTCCAATTTCAACAATCCTGCCTCCCCACCCCCCTCCTGTCTTTGGCAACCACCAATCTCTTCTATGTACCTATGAATTCAGTTTTGGTTTTGGG